CCCCTTGCAATGAAGCCAAACACAGACCATGATGGACAAACACAAATACTGACTTTTTTTCCTGAGACATTCAGTTCAGTCAGGAGCCTCACCTGATAGGGGGAAAGGGTGAGGGAGTCCAGATTTCTGAAGGAAATATTCAGCAGGATTGTGCCCTGGAGTGTTTTGTAGAAAGCAGCCATTTTGGATCAACTGGAAAACAAGGGGAGAGGATGACCCAAAATGGTGATGGGCCCTCCGGTAAGTGATTACACCTGTAGGCTGGGATAATGAGCCCCAGCTGCTATATAAACCTGATAGAATAGGACAAGAGTCCAGTTTTGGGAATCAGGAGGGAGAGAAAGGCAGTGAAAGAGGTGTGTGGGTTTTATGTCTGTGGTAATTGGGATGGTTTAAATTAATCCTACTTTTTTTTTTCTTCTAGTGAGGAAAATTAGTTAAACTGTAATTATAACTCTACTAAGGGACTATTTTTTTGATCTGGTCTCAAAAGGATTTGTTGGCTTTCTCCAAGGATATAGACCTTTTTTTTTTTTGTGCTAAAGAACCTTTGGTCATCTGCCCTGTGGTACAGCCCAGTGGGTGTAGTGTTTTGCAGTAATGGTGTAGCTCAATGAGAATGCAGCAGGGAGAGTGTGCATCCCTGTTGTACTGGAGAGTGGGTGGTGAGAGAGGAAGGAGGAGGGGGGGGGATATTAACAGGAGAAGTGTGGGTGGGGTGATCCATTAGTAGATGCTGAGGCAGAGAGAGCCTCCTTAGATCATATCACTGCCCAGGGCTGGGGATGACCTAGGGCATGGAGCAGGAGGGGGACAAGTAAAATTCTCCAGACGCCAGGATTCACTCGCACAAAGCGAGCGAGGGGTATAAATACAGATGGCAGCTCACACCCAGGGACAGACTGAGAGCGGCTCTGCTGCGCTGAGACTCGGGTGCCCTCAGACTGGCACGGCTTCCTCGCAGACGGAGGCAGACGCAGAGCTGCGCTTGCAGGCCGGCGGACGTGGTCTCGATCGCTTGTCTTGTTCTGTTCTCGGCCCGGCGAGACTTAAAACCGGCTACGTCTGCGGGGGAAGTCGAGACAGTCTCGCTCCCGGGATTTAATCCGCAGCCCAGCGAGCGGGAGGGATGGAAAAGCGGGAAGAGGCTGGCATCGAGGCGGGGGTGGCTGCCATGGCTCAGTGCTACCAGCCATTTGACCCGGCTGCCTACCTGCAGTACAACTACACCCCTCCCCGAGCGGACTTCTCCCGGCTGGACAGCATCGTTCCCTGGAAACTGGGCTGCCTGCACCGAGCCTTCACTGCGGGTGAGCCTGGCACCGGGGCCGAGTGTGCGTGGGGGGGTGGGGGGCGTCTCCCTGGGTGGATCTGTCGGAGTGAGCGTCCTCTCTTGCTCTGACCCCCTCCTCTGCCCGCCTAGGTGACATCTGCGGGGGCACCCTGGTGGACGTCGGCTCGGGCCCCACGCTGTACCAGGTCCTGAGCGGCTGCGAGGTGTTCGAGAAGCTGGTTCTGACCGACTTCCTGCCGCAGAACCGGGCCGCGCTGCGGCGGTGGTTGGGGGACGACCCGGGCAGCTTCGACTGGAGCCCGTACCTGCGGCACGTCTGCCAGCTGGAGGGCCGCAGGTGAGGCACGCTGGGCACGGCGCTGGGGCCTCATTCCCAAGGTGTGGCCGTCGGTGGGCTGAGATCTCCCTCCGTGTGATGGGCAGAGGGGTATCGATCAAGGCCAGGTCAGGGGTGTGTTCAGACACTTGTATGATTCTGTATCCCTGTTCGCCCCCCCGCAGCCCGGAGGCGTGGCGCGAGAAGGCTGCCCGCCTGCGCTCAGTGGTGACCGACGTCCTGCCCATTGACGTGCACCGTCCCGCCCCCCTGCTGCCCGGTGCCCTGCCCGGCCCGGCGGACTGCCTCGTCTCCTCCTTCTGCCTGGAGGCCGTGAGCCCGGACCGGCCCGCCTTCACTCAGGCGCTGCGCCACGTCTCCACGCTCCTGCGGCCGGGGGGGCACCTGGTGATGATCGGGGCGCTGGAGGAGAGCTACTACCTGGGCGGGCCGGGCGTGCGGATCCCCGTGGTGCCCGTGGACCAGGCCTTCGTCACCGCCAGCCTGGAGGAGTGTGGCTACACCGTGCTGGAGTTCTGCACCTACGTCCTGCCCGCGGACATGTGCGTGGGTGTGGATGATGTGGTGGGCATCTTCTTCCTCAAGGCCAGAAAAAAGTAGAAGGGGGATTGAGAGGGGGCACCATCGTCAAGGCTCCCTACTCAAAGGCAGCCTTGCCAGTCTAATTGGGAGAGTCTGCATCTGCTCCTTGGCTTCTAAATCCCCAACTCGAGACTCGTCCTTCTCGGTTGGTATCTTTACCTTTCGTTCTGAAAGGTGGCGCTGAAGCAATCGCAGCAGGGGCCAGTGGTGCTGTCTGGCGCCAGTCCCCAGATGGGCACTAGTGGCAGATGTGCACGTCTGTCCAGCTGGGCAGGATGCAGGAACAGTTGGGATTGGAGAGTGAGGAGCAGAGAGGCTGTCTGAAATTCTTGTTCCAGACCCCCACAACTATTTGTGTAATGGCCCTTCTGTTTTTCGGTCTTAAATGCACTTGTTTGCAGTTCCAACTCGTCTGGGTTGTTGGGAACAACTGCCTTTTCTGTGAAATAGGTGCTATGTAAGATGCAGCTTGTTGATCTGCACTACTTTTATTCTCCTGAACGACGCTGCCTGCCTGTTGTAGAGTCCTGGACCCCTCTCTCACAGACCCCTTTTCAAATACTCGCTGGACAGAGACCAAGTCCTCCTCAACTGAGGCTGAGGCCGTTTAAACAGGGAAGGAACATCAGCCCTGTTTGAGATCCTCACACACTGGATCAGTTCAATTTTACACCCTACATTACAGTCCTTTCAAAGTTGTTTCTTAACCCCCCCCCCCCTCATTTAATGTACATTCATTGTGAAACTTGAATAAATTTTCATATCTGAACTTCCCAGTGTACCTTTCTTGAGTAATTCCACCATTTATGTGCATCTCAAAGGATGAGAGGTTTTTTCAGTGGCTTAGGGAGGGTTCAGGCTCCAATGTACCACAGTGCTAAACTCTGCTTGAAAGTTGGAAACTTGTATTGCAAGAAATGCCTTTTGGAGGGGTTAGGTGTCATTTTGTTTGTTTGTTTTTTTTAAATGCTGTGTAATCCAGGAATCGGCTCGGTTTACACCTGGTAGAGCTACTTATCAGCTCCAATAGGTTTCATCAACCTGGAATAGATATTGGATTTTTAAGGATGTGGTCTACTTGTGTGAGTGGTACAGTTAATTTAGAGAACTGCAGCTCTTGTCCAATTGGAAACCTAGTAAATGGCAGCCTTTTCATTTTGTGCAGTCTGAAGTATGACTTTCAAAATGTGCGTTTTTGGCCCTGTGTAGAATTACTGACTTGCATTTGGGCATGTTTTTAAATGAAAAGCTGTCACTGTGAAGTTCCCCCAACTGCTCAGTTTTAACTGCTGCTGTGCTTGTTAAAACCCCTCCCTTTCCCATCTTCTCTTCTACTCTAGACTTCTCCCCCAGGACACGTGGGGCTTTGGGGATTTTCCTTAGGTTCTTTGATGGCTGATTAGACAAAGACCTTCACTTCATTAGAGGCACAGAGCCTGGCTAGAAAAATATAGAAGAGTGATATAAATAAGAGCATGTCTAGCAAAATAAAACCTGCAGAGAAGCTAGGTCCTCCTTTCAGTATCCTGATCCTGCACAAAAACAGGAGAGGAGATGTTGAGCATCATGGTTCTGAATCAAGACTGGTCAGTGGTTCTCAGTCCTGATCCTTCAGAGCCACGCTCTCTCCTGGTTTGTGTTCCAGCTCTTCCCTGTAACCATCAATCTAACTGATCTACTGGCTTGTTTAGGCATTTCTTTCAGTCCTCGATTTTAACTATCCTAAACTGTTGTTTTCCACAACTTCAACATACACACAACCCCATCTCGGCTTGCTTGTTAAAACTAATGGAGCAAATTCTTGACTAAGAAGCTCTTAAGAGGTGGGAATGACAGTGTATCAGACACTGATAACTGGGTACTGTTCAGCTGACCCACCTGCAAGAGAAGAATTCTCAAACCCAGCGGTTGGCACAGGGCTGATACCCAACGCGAATTCCGTGCATATTTTTGTTGTTGTTGTTGTTGTTGTTTTAAAGCTGAAAGGCATTTAAAAAAGGAAACGGAAATCGGTTTACCTGCTGGAGAACAGAAGCCTAGGATTTGCCCAGCACGGGGACTGAGACAAAAGGAACAGAAGGAGTACAACAGGCTCATACAGTGTATGACACCTGCATTTGTCCCTTGCACAGGTGGCGCTTGTGAAGTGGGCGAGTTCGGCGCCTTAGCTTTGGGCTCCCTCTAGTGGCGACAGGGCGCCAGGACACCTTGGGCTTGCGGCTGCCCGGAACTGTGCTACTCGGAGCTCGGAGGCGCGGGGGGAGTGTATTCCCACAGACATAGGAAGTGGAGAGCGGCCGCGGCAGCGCTCCTGGAGCTGGAGCTAGGCAGTGTTGGCACTGCTCGTGTTGCATGCAGTGACGTTTCTGCCAGGTTTGCCCTGCTGCCGCCGAACGCGAAAACCTGCCCGGGGGCCGAGGACGCGATGCCCCGGTGAGACCTGCCGCTGCTTCCCTATGGCTTGATCGCCGCGTCGCCTCCCCCCCTCCCCACCACCCCCGTCGTGTGCCTTCCGTAGCCTGTCCGCCGGGCCCGACGATGTGCCCGTCGCCGTCCCGGGGCACGCAGCACCCCCGCTCCGCTGCCCGCCTGCTCCTGCTGGCGAGCTGCCTGCTCCTGCCGGCTCGGGTCTCCGGGTCCCAGGGAGACAAGGAGCCGTTTTATCGGGATTGTGTCAAGCAGTGTGTCCGAACCAACTGCACCGGATCTCGGCTCAGGGGGTTCGAGTCCTCGCAGCCCCACTACATGGCTCTGACCGGTAAGTCTCCGTGCCGCGATTACCTGCTTTGCGCTAGAAACAGCCGTCTTTTTAAATTACCTACGGACAGACATGCAGTTCTGCAGCAGCAGCAGCAATCGCCCGGATCAACACTGCACCGCTCGCCACGGTAGATCGCGGCTCACAGCAGTTCATTTGGAGATTTTTAATTCGCTGTTCAAAGTTGCCGTCGGAGCTGGGCTACTTTAAGGGTGCAGCTCGTACATTTCGTGTCCACCTAGGGTCACCTTTGTTGGACAGGGGTCGTTCCTTCATCGGGCCAGCACAATTCTGCACGATCGCACGTTTTCCCTGCCTCTCGGCGTGTTCAGTCTCCCGTCAGCGTTGTCCGGCACTTCGGGAATAAAAGACAGGGCTTGTGCTTGGGTGCAACGGTCCTGTAGCACACCTATCGATCTACCTGGGCGCAGTGCACAGTAGCTCCTGTCGTTGTAACCGGTAAACGGAAAGAAAAGCTTTGAGTAACTGCTGGTGGGCTAATTTTAAGCAAAGAAAAGCGACCATAATCTAAGATACCCTTTGCTGGGTTAAATGAAAGGAAGGATTTGTCAGCGGAAGAGTGTTCTGGTTGTCTTTGCCGCGGCTCAGACATAGCACTGGAGAAAAGGGAAAAGGCGGCCGATATAAATAAAAGCCTCATGCCTCTACAAGTCCCTTCAGCTGACAGCTGTGGCAGAGGCCCTTCCGCCTGTGTAAATTGTACCGGCAGATGGCTGCCTTGAGAAAAACAAGAAATTCGGGTTGAATAAAATGAAATGATTTGTTGCCTCAGAATCCAAGACAAGGTGGGGGAGATGTGGATCAGCAGTGGCCGGTCCTGGGGGGGCAGGTCAGTGTGTCTCCAGGGCTTCAAAGCCTGTTTAAAGCAGCAGCACCTGAAGAGCTGGGAGAGGCAGTTCAACTGGTCCAGTAACCAGCTGGCTTTACGACCCTGCTCCTGAAGATCACCCTGGTGCCTCTGGATATCACTGAGCCCCCTGAGCGCCCGGGGGCTTGGCGCACCCCAGTTACCCCCATTACCCCAATTGTGTGATGGCAGAAACAGGATCTTCGGGGACGATTGTGCCCCAGGACTGTGAGTGTGTGTGTGAGTGTGTGAGTGTGTGAGTGTGTGAGTGTGTGAGTGAGTGAGTGTGTGAGTGAGTGAGTGTGTGAGTGAGTGTGTGAATGAGTGTGTGAATGTGTGTGTGAGTGTGTGAGTGTGTGAGTGTGTGAGTGTGTGAGTGAGTGTGTGAATGAGTGTGTGAATGTGTGTGTGAGTGTGTGAGTGTGTGAGTGTGTGTGTGTGTGAGTGAGTGTGCGTGTGAGTGTGCGTGTGAGTGAGGGTGCGTGTGAGTGAGGGTGCGTGTGAGTGAGGGTGCGTGTGAGTGAGGGTGCGTGTGAGTGAGTGTGTGTGTGAGTGTGCGTGCGTGCGCGGGGTCAGTTTCACGGAAGTGTCCCGAGCTGGACGCCGCCGCCCCTGGCGACCGGTCTGGCTCCCTGTGTGAGGTGTGCGTGGCGCGTGTGCGTGGAGGGCTGGGCCGCGTGCCTCAGCGCCTGCTGCCCTTGTGTCCGCCCGCAGGCTGGACCTGCCGCGATGACTGCCGCTACCAGTGCATGTGGACCACGGTGGGGCTGTACCAAGCCGAGGGCTACAGGGTGCCCCAGTTCCACGGCAAGGTGCGTCTCTGCCTCCCTCTGTCCCTCTCGCCTCCCTCTGTCCCTCTCGCCTCCCTGCCTCCCTCTCGCCTCCCTCCCTCTCTGCTCCCTGTTTGTGATTCCAGTGGATATTCCCCGTGCTGTCCTCTCTCGCTCAGTGTATAAATACACTGTATATTGCCGGAGGGGCCCAATGGCTCCTCTTGTGTGTGAACGTTCCCGTGTCTGTGCTGACATGTTCTCTCCCCTCTCTCCCTCAGTGGCCGTTCACACGGTTCCTGTGTTTCGAGGAGCCGGCCTCGGCCCTGGCGTCTCTCCTGAACGGGCTGGCCTGCCTGCTCATGCTGCTCCGATACCGCAGCGCCGTGCCGCGCCAGTCACCCATGTACCACACCACCACCGCCTTCTCTCTGGTCCGTCTGCCTGCCTGTCTGTAGCCTCTTGACTTCATGTCTCTGTCCCAGCCTGCGTCTGGCAGGCTCTGCCACTGCGTGGTTCAGCGTGTCTGACTG